TGTGCCTTGTCCAAAGCTTCAGCAGCCAAAGTGGCCTCCGACTGCCATTGTTGCAAACAGGCCGCCAGTTCAGGTGCCCTGTCGTTACCTCCGGCGTGCTGCTTCAAGAACTCAGCAATGAATCTGGGGACAGGTACGGTCGCATCTTGCCGCCCGACGTACTGCGCTTCATCCGGTGCTATGTTGCCAAAAATTTCAGTACTTTGCAGCGACGCCTCAAGTAATGCCTCCTCTGGCAGGGCACCTTCCTCGGATAGTCAGATAGTACACGACACGCCACTAAGAACAAGTAACAACGAGATTTCCTTTCGTCAATTTGTCAACTCGTTCAGTTGAAATCTGAATTCTGATAACTGGTTCATGGCCCATGGCAGTGGTAGCATAACTTACCGTGCCGTTCCGTCGCTATTTGTCCGATGATTATGCCAATATGATATGATGCGACTAACTAGTAACAATACTACTATCCTGTATACTACTAGACTGGCTATACTAGACTATTGTCAACTGACCCACCCTACCGAAATTCCCAACCGACAGTCAGTCGATCACCAGGACACTGCATATGAATTATGACTCATATCATATGAGTCATATGAGTCATATGAATCACATGAATCACGGTTCCTGCTCGGCTACGCTGCGACCAAGGCACATAATCTCTACTGTACACTGTGCGGCACAATGGCAGTGTACCGTTGACCGTTACTAGTTACTACTGGGTTATCACCGAATCATGCACTACTTCCCTTACCCTTTCTTCCCTACGTCACATCCAATGGCCCAATGGGCCCAATGGGAAACGCGAATTTGACGCGAGTTTGATGCATGCGCACGATCCGGCAGTGCTGACACGGCATCACTGCATCACGCCAAAAACAAGATAATCGAGTTATTGGTTATGATCGCAACAGACAGTTGGAACTTAGAACAGCGGGCACAAACAACCATATGTCAATATGCATTTCAAACCAAGCTTCTTGCATGGACTCAGTTGCCAAACGCAGAAATTCTGGTCCCCGGGCTTTTGCACCTCCAGCCAAAGCACGTTCGACGGTCTCTTGTTCCCTCTGTGTGTTGGCATCCTCCAAGGTTTCGTCGCGAGCCTTAGAGTTTTGGATTTCAAGCAGCGGCTGAGCACGAATGGGCCGAATGGGTTACCGACTATCCGACACTGAAAAAACAATCTCCAGTCGCAAACAATACATACTGCCGGGACTGATATCTAGCTAGCCACAGCCGCTCGTTCGATGCCCTCGTCAAAATCATCATGGGTTCGCATACGCATTTGCTCATCTACAGCCAAACGCAGAACTTCATCCTCTGAGAGATGTGTCGTGGGAACAGCAGAGTTGGCCTCATACTGCTCCATCAACTCCATTAGATTGTCCATTTCGGGACTTTCCCTGCTAGCGTCAGGGTCGCCATCGTCGTCATCGTCGTCCATGTCCATGTCCGCATCATCTTGATGTGGTTCAAGCTCCTTCATCAGCTGTTGGGCAAATTGGTGACCAAAAAGCTCAGTCGCTGAAGCGAGGTCGAATGCTGGGTTTGTCTTGTTGGAGTCGCCGGGCTTGCTGGCGTTGTCGATCTTGTCGTCACTGTCGTCGATCTTACGTTTCTGCGACACCTTCGGTTTCTCGCTGGTTGATTCGGTTGATAGTGCATCTAGTTTAGAAGAAACTTTCTTGCCGGGCGGTCTCATGCGCGTGGCAATTGCAGCTGACCCCATGAGCCGCTCCAGGCTGCCAGCCTTACTTAGGGTGCACACATCATGCATTCCTATGCCACACGTTACGATGACAATGACGATCAACAACACAAACCAATGAATGAATCAAGAAATGAACGGACGGATGAATGTGTGCATGACTGTATATAATGCATAAGCGCATCCATGAGTGAGTGAATGTGTAAATGACTTAGCAAATGTGTGACTACTTGAACTGATGAATGAATGAATGAATGAATGAATGAATGAATGTGAATCAATGAATTGCCCAATGAATGGCTGAACTTGAATGAAACTATATGAATCAACAAACACACCGGTACGAATGAATGAATGAACGAATGAATGAATGAATGAATCGACCCAATGATGGAATGAAACGAAGGGAGCGAGTGCGGGAGTGAGTGAAAGTGAGTGAACAAATCAACCGAGTTTGTATTCCGTTTTCAGTCGATGTCAGTGACTTCATTACAATGGACGGATCTGATGTGAGGTGGAATATGAATGTGTAAGCTGTGCAGCAGTGAACCCACCAGTCCCACGAGTGAATAATTGAAATATATGAACAAACGAATGAGCGGATGGATGGAAGGACGGATGAACCGATGGATGAATGGAATGGATGTGATATGAATGACATGAAATATGAACGGATCAATAGATGGATCATGAACGAATCAGCGAATCAACGGATGCGTCAAATTCGCGAATTTGAGGCTTGGGTTCGGAAATGATGGTTGTATGATATGGTAAGACATGGCATGATTCTTTTATCTCGATTTTGCCGCTGAAACTAATACCTAAGAAAATCATCATGAGACGACAGATCCGAGCGGCAATAAGCCATACACCCCAATATGAAATAACAATACTGTCATACGGCTAACCGGCTAACCAACTAACCTACCCGGTCAAGCATTCATAAGTCTGAAGACAAATGACAGAAAATAGTGGAAAGCCAAATCCCAACCCTGACTGACCCTAACCCGGACCCGCATACCTAGACTTTTGACTCAAGACCCCAACCCTGACCCTGACCGATCGTGAGCCACATGAGCGACTCGTCTGACTCGTCTGCAGATCAACGACACGAGCTGAGGAGCTATAGATGAGGTGGGTATCTATATAATATATGAAAATATGGTGAGGTTAAATATGTTCCAAAGACGGTAAGTTTACTGAATTTAATGAATACAAGTGTGTAACACTACATATATATATATGACTGATGTTACTTTTTATACATTTTAATAATTAATACTGAGTCGAACGGTTTTCTGGCAAATACAATATTGACTGGATAAAGTCTGGATAGTGACTTGATTGAAGTCGATGTTGTAGTCGTAAGTCGTAAGTCAGTGGCAGTGAGGTGGCTGTGAATACGGGTGGCGCAGATGCACGACGGCTACATCTACTAATCTACATCCGCACTGAAACTGCATGGTAATAGTAATAGACTCTTATATGCTACCACAAATGCCACAAAATCAGAAATCAAACCCACTAATCCCAACCAAGAATCTTGAAGAACTCTGACCTGCAACAACACCACTGTTACTTCACGGTGTTTGTCTTTGACCGACTCGTACAACCCAGTGAAGATATCATGGCTTCCAATGAATTTCAATGGTGATCGCACAGCGTACTCTGTTGGGGATGTCCGGTCGCAAGCTGCTAGGTGCAGAGTTGATCTGACCTTGTCGGTCACCAGAAACACCTTGGCTGCCGCGGCAATGAACGAATCAAGGTCAGAAGGCTCTGGAGGTGACCCATGTAGGAAGGCAACTGCTGGCAGGCCCACCGAAGCCTTGAGCGGAATCGTTGCTAGGAACTTCCTGAATTCTGAATTCACTGCGACACCCCATATGTGCGCAGCGGTCATCTTTGAGCAGGGTCCACTCGGCCCACTCGGGTCCACAGAGTGCTGAACCTTCTTTGCCTCCTCTAAAGAAAGCACATCGCTCCGAGCCGTTACCGGAGCAAAACGGCCTTCCGTCTCCACTTGTGAAATCAATGGCCAACCAGCCAAACACTCCCGGAGCAGCATCTGGGCAGTCGGTTTCATATCAGAAAACTTGCGCCCACCCGACAGCCTGTAGCCCCCAACACCCAGGAAGTGTTTCAGCTGAAGGCGAGATGTGCAAAGGTCCATTGATCCGCCGGGAACACGCTTCCCGAAGAGAGAGAGCATCTTGTTCAGTCTCTCTGATTCTCTGACATCAGCTTGCATCATGTCAAACACACCACGGAGAGTCACGTAAAGTCTCACCCCACAGTAGCCAGTAGATGCACTGAAAGCCAGATCCTTGTGGAACATGGGACTCAGCCGGAGCTTGCGAACGTTCACATGCAGCTGGTTCTCAGAAGCACGTAGGATTTGGCGGGCATGCTCTTGTCGTTCAGCACCTGGGACTATGGGCCTATGGGGTTCAATGATGCGTGTACTACAGGTACTGAGCCGTTGCCTTACTGCCTTACTCAGTTTTAGCTAGTGGCTGGGTTGGTAGTTAGTATTTGGATTCATTACAATTTGATTGAAAGCCGTTGACCCTCGCCCCACGGCTGCTTCTATGAGTCTATGAGCCAGTCGAGTCAAGACTCAGAATGTGCGAGGCTTCTTGCGAACCAATACAGCCAACTGGTAATCATCACGCAACAGTGGGCATCTGATCTTGCGGTCATAGCCCGACGTGCTGTGCAGAAGAGCATCCATCCTTATAAATGCGTCACACATCCATCATGCATATGACGGTCACGGTACGACATTGCTGGTACGGCATGAATACTTGACTGAATGAACGAGTGAATGAATGATTGGACGGATGAATGAATGAACCAATACAGTGCATGAGTGCATGAAACAATAAATGAATGCATTGGTTGAATGGTGGGAACATGGAACACTGGCAACTGCGGCAGCTGTGAATTGGCAGGGGCTACATTAATTCATGACATGAGTGTCATGTAGTCACGTAGTCATGTAGGTCATAGCAGTTCAGCCCAGCATGACCATAAGGAGTCGGAGGCGGCTACGAAATAGATCAATAGCACGACCCACGGACCGGTGGGGGGGAAGCAGCCTGAACGGCAGTGATCCCGTGAATTGTGAACCATTGGAACATCGAAAGATGCCAGGCATATATGACATTTTATTCAGACTCGGAATGTCTACAGTCTACTGTCAAGAAAGCGATGTCGTTCTGAATCCTCGGTTTATAGTCGTGAGTCTTGAATCATAACTTAGCACCATAGAATCATAGAAACATAGTCACCGATAGAAGGGTGTGAATAAGACTAAAAATACTGAAGATTCATAGGTGACCCGATCAATCACGTCAAGCATCGCAAAATTACGAATGAACTGTGCATCATCTGCCTCGAGATCCCGGGATAAAGTCGCCAGCCAGTCTGACTGGTGCAAACTGTCAAACTCAGCCCGAATATTGGCTGCCTTCCCCAGAACCAACTGAGCAATGTGGGACATGTCCTTGTCTGTGTCCTGGAGCTGATGGAGAAAATTCGAAACATGTGACAGCGGCTGCCTGCATAGATGCATGGCTTCCACGCATCGCCACCACACAGGGTCCTGCACGACAGGATGGTTGCTGCTGGTTAGAGTTTAGTGTTTTGGCATGTTTTGGGTTTCAGCTTAGGGTTTTGGGTTTAGGGTGTGGTTGCTTGGCTAATAAGGTTGACTCAGAGGCAGTCAGACAGGCGCAATCGTCAGGCACGTCACGTCAGGCCTATCAACAGTCAACGAATCAATCAACGAACCAACTACGAGCTAATTGACTATATTCGCTGGGGTCATTCACACACTCTTTGCGTAATCGGTAAAATCGGTCCAGTCCATCGATCCTTTCATGAATCATGCGTCTGCGTCACCATTGCTTTATTGCTTTACCAAATATCAAAAGCGTACCGGGCCTTAGCGACACAAGCCTTCAATGTTCAACATTGCAGCTGATGGCCGACTTTAGGGTGGAAGTTCCTAGAGTGTTCCTGTCCTAGACTCCTAGACTCACTACGGTCCGGTTGCGAAACAGTTTCATGATTTGCCACTGATGCTGCGTTGGAGGGTTTAGTCTAGTGGGGGGCCGAGCTTGTTGCTGGCTGCCGAATACCAGCGCTCTAAGTCTAAGTCTAGACTTATCATATCTAAGTCCTGGTTGTTTTAAGGGTCCCTACCGTCTATCGTCTACATATACCCTGAAAACAATATTAACTATACTCTAGTGTCTAGTCTTTCTTACTTTGTTGTTTCAATACGAATCAATCTGACTGGCTCTAATTCGGAAACGCCGGAAACGCCCAATACATCTCGACTCTGGATCGTGAATCGCGTCATGGGAACCCTGCGAACACTGACCCTGATCTCAACGACTCAAGGACTAAACTGCACTAAGCCGCCTAATCCGCGAGAAAACTAACCTTACACCTTATGCCACGCCGCAATCCTGGCATGACTCGGTCGTTTGCCCTGCGTTCGCAGACACACATGCACTCACACGGTGAGACCACTCCTGACTCCTGATCACTTCTGAGACCACAAGTCCGCAAGCACTCCTGGGCAGCTCGGCCAACTGTACCCCGCTTTTCCACGGGATTGAATTCCATCTTGTGCACCGGCCGACGACTCCCGATCATCGAATCATCGATCATTCTCATGCTCGGCTTCATGCTCCCACTCCGACACATGCCTGTTCCACTCTTCACGACGAGATCCAGTGAGGCGCAGTGCAGCTTCCTGCTTCAGAGCGGGCCAAGGCAACGGATGCATGCGTCTTGTCAATCCTCCAAGTCGACCTGCCACAGACCTCGGAGCCAGCGGCGGAACCACGGCATTAAGTTCCATCCTGAAGAGTGTGTTCAAAGTTCTCTTCGCGTCATCAAGCCGACCAGCTTCCAAGTTCACTTCAGGGCCGGGGAAAAAACCGGAAGTGTCAGAGGACGATGACGATGACGACTCCGACGAAGAGCTGTGCCCAGACCCAGAAAGCCCATTCACGACCCTCGGCGGCGGACCCCGCGGCTCATTCACGGGCCTCGGCGGAGGAGGTTCCCGCGGCTCATTCATGGGCCTCGGCGGTGGCGGTCCCCGTGGCGGACCCTCCGACCCCATTGGCTCGGCGACAGAATCACTGCCAGAGTCAAAGTCAAAGTCGGAGCGCGGCCGTCTGCGTCTGCGATCTGCCGCCGCAATATGAGGCGCCATCGACGGGCCACGGCACGAACACAGCCTCTTCAAAGCATAGCAGCCCGCGCAGCGCAACCCACTTCTCACCCGCATTTTGCATGCCGGAGTTGGACGTCCGCTTGGCCGGGGTCTACGCAAGCTTAGCATCCTCAGGAGATCTGGCAGCCCCCTGCCCATGTCGTCGGACACATCGGACATGTCGTTGTCATTGTCCTCATTCACGCCCTCATCCTCTGCAGCCTCCGGCAGCCCCGTGTCGAGGTCCATGGTCACGTCCTCATCCTCTGTAGCCTGTGTATGCATGGCGGCACGAGGATCCAAGTCGCCCAACAAACCCACCTGCACTGATCTGCACTGCATTGCAACCCATTCAGTTGAAGCTGCATCTGCCTAGTGTTGTCACTCATCCTGTAACTTTAGGATTTGAGTCGAGTCAGTCGTCAGTCGTCTATTCTATACCGACAACCCCGACACCGGTCTATGCACCAGTGCCTGGTGCTTGAGCCGTGCGTTGGCATTAGCACTGGGGTATGGATCGCATAGTCACATGGTGGTCTGACCCCGATTCAGTAATTCGTTCAATGGATTCAATGGCCCAATGGCATACCAATTCCAATAGGAATCCAGCAATCCAGCATAGCTACATGGCATTTCAGCATGAGATGGCCTTGAAGCTTGGGTCCTGAGTCCTGACCGCCTGTTTCTGATGATGATTATGAGATGCCGATATGACGATGTGACGATGATGATGATGATGATATTTCGATGATGACGAGCAACATGTTCATGAATTCATGATGGTTCAAGGTTGTTGATTCATGAATTCATGAACATAGATGATTCTGATGATTCATGATATATGTTGATGCCAGATGACTGGTAATACCTGATGCCTGATGATGGATGATTGATAACGGGCCTAATAATTGGGCATTCAGACTGAGTTCAGATGATGAATCATGATGAATGGTGACGGTGATGGTGATAAATGGTGATAGTGATGATGTGATATGTGACTCTGTGACGACGTGACGATATAATGTGACTGTACTGTACTATATACAGCATAGCCTATATGTACTGTGTGTATAGCCTTTATATACTATATACTATATACTATATAATATATACTATATACTATATACTAGATACTGTATACTAGATACTAGATACTAGATACTAGATACTATATACTATATACTATATACTATATACTATATACTATATACTATATACTATATACTATATACTATATACTATAGACTATAGACTATAGACTATATACACTATTGAACTTACACTGTTTAACTGACTAAAATTTCAAAGCTATAATGCACAAACCATTGTGGCAGCTGCTTACAACTAGTTGTACGACGAACCCGCTGCGCATAAATATCAGAACCCAGATCGCACATTCAGATGGTCATGAGATGGTACTGCGATGTACACAAATTACCCACCCGTGCAGCACATCAACACACCCCCGGAACCCTGAAGCCTTGAAACCCTCGGTACATGGTGATGCATCTGTCCTCCAAGCACTGCTTGGCCTGACGCCGCCATCGTCCCATCTTTGCGCTGTACTCCTGCTGCTGCTCGATGGCCAGCTCGTCGACATGATCCTTTTCTTTCCGGGAGCTGGAATCAGTTTTAGAATTCTTCGACATGATGACGTCAGAAAGGATAGGCGACAGTTTTGATTGGCCACATTGAAGGAAACGTTGCTCCGGCTTGTCGCAACCAGTCCATCTGCCAGAACAAGCTTTAGGAAACAGTGTACGAACATGTTTCTTAGCAGATTGCGCACCGTGCTCTTCTGACCAGCGTTCGAATATCTTCTTGCACAAATCTCTGCATACCGTGGCACATGTGGCAAGGCTGGCATAATATTTCCAGCTACGTACCCCTTTGAGGAGACGATCCGCACATTTGAGAGCTGTCAATGATACCAGGTGCTGGGAGTGTTCCAGGCAGGTTGTGTCAAAGTAATACACTTGAGGATTGCCCAGGAGCTCTGCATGGATGATCCTGCGTGCACCCACCTCGTTCGAGCCTGCATCCGTGGTGGCTACGAACCAGGTCACGCAGGTGTCAATGTCATGGTGCCTCAGAGTTCTCAGAACCGGGTCAGGACCGGGATAATTGTCGAGTTGTCGAGTATCCGCAGCGACACCCCTGTTTGCTGATTTCTTTAAGTCGACAAGTACAAGTTGCCTATAGCAAGTCCTAAGTCTAAGTGCGAAGGTGCTAAGGTGTAAACGAAAACTAATTAAGATTTTGAGGCTGTAACATATGGGATAATAGATTCATTGGTTGGTTGGGCCTACTTAAGGAACGCAACGTCACAGATTTGTGTTCTCTCGCGCTGCTGCAATAATTAATCCTAAACCTAAACCTAAACTCAACTCTGCGACAGAGACAGCGAGCGGGGGGGGGGGGTGTCGATTCGTTTGATGCAGGGCCTATCGTATCATTGTTAACTGTTAATTATTCGTACTCAGTATAGTATTCAATAGTTCTCAGCCTCAGCCATTATTGCTGCTGCCCTATTCACAATCAGACCATTTGAGGATCTGAGTAAAGTGATCTATGATGATATGTATCGATAGATATGATTAATAAAGATTCTGCCGTGAAGACAAACAACGACGTCCACACCTGAACAGAAACTTGCCTGAAGAGAGATCTGAATTCTACCTGATTGGAAGTGGTCCTTACCTTGCATTCTAACGCTGTCTAACGCTGATGATCTGATGCTTTGAGCGTCGGCTCGTCCGACACGTCTGACAGTTTGACCGTCGACCGTATGAACCCCGGTCCCGATCCAAGCATAAGTGCCCAATAAATAAATTAAATTAATATGATATGATTATATGGAATGTTTGCGGGGCTAGTCGTATTCGTTGCTGTCTGTCTGTCTGTTCACTCTGGACACTGGACACTAAGGTTCAAGTTCTGACAATCGACAATAGGACTGGCAATAGGCTGAGGAGCGAGGCGTTTATGTTGGGGCTTTTGTCGGAGGTCGGAGGCTGGACTAGCCGGCAACATGGCAACGGCAACGGCAATAACCGTAGCAAGGAGTCAAGGAGAGGGTGGCAAGACAAGGCAGCGCAGGACTGCAGGACAGCAGGGTATTTCTGATACCAATAGTCATCATATATCAATACATCCTTTTCAAATCTCGAGCCCAGTAAGCAGGTAGAAAATAAACGAGCAAGCAGCAAACGAGTCAACCAAGGCAGCTATAAGAATTAGAAAGAAATAAATTACGCAGAGTTGCGGCCATTGTAGCCACAAGCCGGCCACAAATTAGTGAATCAGGCTGCACCAACCAACTTACTAGACTAGTATCAGTCAACCGAAGCGATGATTGCTGATCAATCTCATGCAACGGAAGGAGCAAATCCGACAAGTGCACAAGTGCATGACCCGAGAACAAAAGCTATTTGTTGCTGCCACGTAACATGCCCTTCCACGTGGTGCATCCAAGGCTCTCCAGCTGTTTCAAGGTCTGACTCACTGTCCCTTCAGACGTTCCATCTATCACTGGCAACACATCTGCTACGCGGATAATGCTCTCAAAAATCTCATCGAACCTCCACTCACGCAATATCTCTTTGGACAACCCATCACCATCATCGCCGTCGTTTACAGACAAATAAGCCGTCTGCAACAACAGTGCTGCAAGCTTGGAACATTTCAGGATTCCAGAATTGGTTGCGTCCTGGCGAAATGAATGAATGACCAAAGAAAATCTTTTCGGCTTGACGATTTCATCATAGAGGCCATGAAAGAAAAGTCGCGCAGATGCAACCAGCGACGACCCTGCCCTTGTCTCTGCCCTCGACACGGTCCACCGAGTGATGTCTTCCAACAACATGCTGCCCACATCCGCACACGCAACATTCCCGAAGTTACGACGGATAGCTAAAGCCATTGATCCACGTAGTGTAAGCTGCCGCCCACCTTTGGTACGCTCGATATCCAAGGATAGTTCTTTGTCCGTGGAAATTTCGGACACAGACTTCTGAAGTCTTGTATTGGCCTCACGCAGTCTCTTCTCTTGCTTGGCAGATTGCTTAAGTCTCAGCTGATATGCCGTCACTTTCTTCTGCAATTCAGCAATCCTTCTCGATTTGCGTTGACCATCCTCAGGGAATGATTCCGATTCTAAAGGTCAGATGATTCAGATGATTGATGATCATGAACCATGAATCATTGAATCATTGAACTTGAATATTGATAATACTGATGATGATCTGATGATCTGATGATGATGACTATGATTCTGATGACGGATGACGACGATTCGACATGTCGTGCCATCATCGTCGTCATTGAATCATTGACTCATTGACTAACAACTAGGAGTCGCAGAAGGAACTACAATAAACAACAACAGCAACACCGTCACAGTAACAACAACAACAATGACAACAACAACTTATACTTATACTTATAACTTACAACACAACAACTTGAAAAAAAAAACAACTTGCAACAATGACAACAACAACAACAACAACCAACAACTACTAACGTAGGTTGTAGTAGTAGTAGCAGTAGTAGTAGTAGTAGTACTACTACTTAGTAGTAAGCAGTAATAGTAGTACTTAGTAGTAGTAGTAGTAGTAGTAGTAGTAGTAGTAGTAGTAGTAGTAGTAGTAGTAGTAGTAGGAGCCGGTTGAAAGGACACTCAGCCGTTGAGGTATTTGTCGCTTAAAGGTGATCAGAGTGCTGTTTTGTGTCCTTCCTTCCAGGCTTGTAGTAGTAGTAGTAGTAGTAGTAGTAGTAGTAGTAGTAGTAGTTGTAGTAGTAGTAGTAGTAAGTAGTAGTAGTAGCAGTAGCAGTAGCATTAGCAGTAGTAAGTACCAGTAGAAATCTTTAGTAGTGAGTCTATTAACTATTTCTACCTTACTACTACTACTACTACTACTACAACTACTACTACTACTACTTTACTACTACTACTACTACTAAGTACTACTACTACGACTACGACTACTACTACTGCTCCTGCTGCTGCTGTTGCTACTTACTATAGCAGGCAGGTAACAATTATCACAGTTATCAGTTAGCACAATAATAGTAACAACAGCCTGTAAGAACAGCCAACAACAATCATAATCAGAGCAGAGTCTATAGAGTCACATCTGGAAGGCCCAAAGGACTTACTGCTACGCCCACAGCCAATTAACGGCAAAGTACATTGTTAATTGCGCTATAGCCTATATAGCATAGCGGCTATAGCACATCAGTGAGTATGAGTACGGGTAGAGGCCCAGGCGGCAGGCACAGCCGTGTGACAATGAAGCCAGGGTGCATTATCATCATCATACCGTCCCGTACCCTTCAACATGTGTGTTCGTTATGCTCAATGCTCGATTCGTTACTCCGAGTCGTTGCTGCGCTGCTATGTGAAGTAATGACTCTGTAATGACTTTCATGATGCCTGTCATGAGAAACCTGTAACAAATCTTGGGACCTGGAACCTGTGAATCTTAGTAGTTCACCACCCACTTCACTGCTTCACCGTTCCTGTTACTATTTCGCGACTCTCATTATTGTCTGAAAACTGAAAACATATTCCTTCAATCTTGCTTCCACCATCACGGACCCCAGACTGTAAACCGATACGTCGCAAGAAGCACTGACTACTGACTAGTGACTACTACTGACTACCAGTACTCAATCACGAAATATGATATAACTCGGACATAACAAACTATGGACTAACAGTGTATCAGAAGGCATCCTGACAAGCACCAAATCGAATTGCAATGTCCTTCAAGGCCGCTCTGAGCTTGCCGCCAACGTTCTTCAAATCTTTTTCCAATTCCCTAGCACGCAACGATTCTGCTGAGCCTGCAGATGACAAGGACCTTGTGCCATGAGTGTGGAATGCATGACTCGCACTTTCTGAATCACGATCGTCGTGACAAATTCCTGAGCACTCTGACATCACAGAGCGCACAGTTTCTGTCCAATCGACCCAATCTTCGAAGGGAGCTTGCATAACATACTCCATGAAGCAAGGAACTATGTTGATGTCGAATAGTGTCCCATCAGTGTTCAAGCGAAAATCAGCGGCATTGCTTGTAGATAAAAAATATCTCGCTCGTCGATTTATCGCGGTATCTCCGGACCTGATTGCACCAATCAGCATGTATGTCTGTCTTGTGCACGGGTTAAGTATAACTTGGAACTACCAAGTCAGGTCTGCAAGACAGGAGCCCAATCCCCTTCAAGAATGCTGCTGCGCAGCCCCAGTTTGGAAACTGCAAGAAACCGTATTCACATACAACAGGCCCGATGCTACGAATACATGATTTCAGTTTATACCAACGGCCAAGTGGCATATCCATGTTCTCTGTCGACGACTCGCAGCATGCGTGGGTCAGGCAGCATAGCCAAAAGAGTGTCTGACGTGCAACGCAGTAGCCGCTGCTGCATGAAGTAGTAGGTCTCCCGCCCAGGAGCAACAATCGCACGATTTCAAACATTGCAACCTCCTAGATCCAGACGTCTTTGACGATGCTAATCGCAGCTGAAAACACTTCTGAAAAGACGGCAACCTCCTAGATCCAAATGTCTTAACGATGCTCATAAAAGCTGCAAAAACTGCTGAAGCCTGAAAATAAAACTATGGTTACTGCAAGATTGAGTCAGAATCATCTCAATTGCGTCATCTATGTTCCAAAGGGGCTGCGCTCGAGTGTAATAATCAGCTTCCCCGTGGGCTGAGAAAGTATCTTGTGAAATCGCACACAGCCGTTATGAAAACTAGTGCTATTCAGATTCCGTCTCTGTTGCCCCAGAATGCCTGACATCAGAATACGATCATTCGACTTTCCAAACCGTAATGGTTGGAGGGGAAAAAAACATGATGCCACATCTTAGAATGCCCTACTCTTCTATCGTGTGCGCTCTCAGCCTGATTGCTGGGGATAGTTATCGAATGATTGCACAGTTGAGGAGGCTAACATATAATGACCGACTGACTCGAACAAGTAGAAAATGTCTGATCGGATAGGAGACGATGGGCGCCAGGAGGCGGAGGCACTCCCGCCTCCTGGCGCCGGCCTGGGGGGCGGGAACCCCTCCCAACCCGCACGTCACGACTCTAAGGCCCTGTAAAACCGAATACTAACCCCATAAAGCCCCGAAGGCATGCTTGAAGTCTTAGAGAAAACCTTTGCCAGGACCCTTAACGCTACAACCCCATAAACGAAATCCTGAAACATCCTGACACCCTCACAGGTCCCTTTAAGGTGCCTGTTTGGACCCTTTCAGCAGCCCACAAAGGAATCCTGTAAAGGACCGTTTAGACATCCTATAAGTAATAAGCGAAACCCCGAACCCAAAATAGCACTAAAACCCTTAGTTGATCTCTTGAAGGAACCCTTCGAGTAAACTTTTGAGAACTCTTCACGGAACTCTTTAAAGAACTCTGTAAAACCCGACAAGGCACCCTGCCCTAGAAACCAAGAACCCTAAAACCCCAAACCCTGATACGTTGAGGAACCCTCTAGAAGAAGCCCCACCCCCCTAAACTCTTAATTCCAAGCCCCTTAACCCATAAACCCTAAACCCCTGAAACCCTACAACCTAAACCCGAAACCCTGAACCCTAAATCCTAAACCCTAAAACCCTAAACCCCCGCAACACCCCCACCTCTGGAAGAAGCTTTTGAGCTCTTCGAAGCTCAAGCTGCGATCCGCGCCACCCCGAGACCTCCGCTCTAGCTATAATCAAAGCGGAAAAGGAGGGACCCTTTAGGGATCTATAGGGATTCTATCAGGGTATAGGGGTTAGGGTTTAGGGCTTGGGGTTTGGGGGTTTAGGGGGTCTGGGGGAGAAGGAGGGACCCTTAGCCTCTGAGGGTTCCTTTATAGGGATCTATAAGGGTCCCTTTAAAGGGATCTACAGGGTTTAGGGTTTAGTTGAATCAAAGGGGAAAAGGAGGGACCCTTAATGCGGGCTCCTACCCTATAATGGGCTAGATAATGGGTATATAACTGCTATATTAAGGGTATATACCTAGGGGTCCTTATTGAGGGTCCCTCCTTTTACCTTTGTATATAAGGTTACTTATCGGATCTTGGGTTAATCATATTTATAAGGTCCCAAAGGGTCCTACTGCTGACAAAATCCTGCATGGCCCTAAGGACTCTAAACCATGGGAACTATGGTATATTCCTTATAATGGGTGATGCAGGATTTTGTCCATCAACAGCATGTACTGTTATGGGGAAGACTTCCCCAAATCATAATAGTAATTCCTTATATACAAACCCTACATTACGATATAGGTACTTTGGACCCTTTGGGGGTGTACCTTAACCTACCAGAACCTACCTTTTCGTAGGGTCCCCGATAAGACTCCATAGTTGGACTTATATTACTAATAACCTACAGACAAGTAGGTTATGGTAGTTTAAGGTAGCCATACCCGTACTATCGGACTTAGGGACGTCGGGTTCAGGGCTTAGGGCTTTATGGTTTGAGGGTGTAGGCTTGTAGGACTTAGGGTTCTAGGGTATAGCGGTTGAGGGTTTGGAGTCTAAGGCTTTCGGCCTCCTCAAGCCATATTCTTTTTTAAGGGTTCTACAAGAGATCCAAAAGGACCCAAGGCTTTCGGATGAGGGCTCTAGTCGGCTTATCGGTTCAGGGCTTGGTAGCGCGTCTAGGGTTCAAGGGTCTGTAAGTCGTAATTGGGTGGTTGTCAAAATTCATGGTCCATTTTTTGGGTACCCTAACGATTAGGTGCCGTACTATATTAGGGACCCAAAAAGGGACCCTAATTTTGACAACCACCCATAATTAGTTTTGGAGAATAAGGGCATCTTATAGGGTGCTTTGAGGCTTCAGGGTTCTTAGTTCTTTACGGGTCTATACGGCTTAAGGGCTTTTTGAAGAACAAAAAAAGCCTTTGCGGAAATGAATTTGTCGAGGCTTTCTTTTTCAGGATCTTGGGGATTTCAGAGATTTGGGAGCTTTGCGGTGTGGGAGTGATTGGTTATTTTCGGGTTTACAGGGTTTTGAAGCATTGATGCTTTCGGGATTGTCCTTGTCTTCTGGGCTTTGCTCTGGCACAGACTCCTGCAAGGTAAAAGCCAGAAAGTTGGTAAATTATAGGGTGTCCTACCCTGAAACCATATTCCAACTTTCTGGAGTTCCCTTTAAAAGGGATGCAGGGTTCAGGTTTCAGCGAGAATCTGAGTCCATAATTTAGCGCCTGCTTGGGGGGGCGCGGGCGTTGCCACCAACTTCAACTACCCCAAGGGTCCAAGTACCCAATAATCATATACTCTCCAAAATCCTAACCTACATAACTAGTATTCTAAATCCGAGTACCTATTTTTTTGGGTCCTTTGGACCCTTGGGGCTAATGCTTAAACCAAATGTCATATCACCAACTCCGACACTGTAGAACCTCAACCACTTCGTTTCCCAAACTCACTACCCTTAAGCCTGAATCTTAAGCCATGAACCCTGCACTGCCCAAAGCCCCACCCTAAACCCTAAACCTCCAACGCCCAATCCATATAGGGCCTTAATGATTAGAATAGGGTTTTGGGGTACGTTATATAACCAAAGGAACCCCTAGAACCCTAGATAGAGGCTCTTTGCAGGCCTGATTAGCTGCGAGACAGCCATGTCGATCTCCTGCCCCAGAGAGGAAACACAAACCAGGAGTCGGCTTCCTTTGCCTACAGGCTCCTACCCTGCCCCGCTTCAAGGGTCCATACTTTATCTACATCGCAGAACCCAGCCCGGCCCCTAAAAAACTTGGTACATTAGAAAAGGGGTCAGGTATGACGCTGTAGGCACACAAACTCAGACATAAACTATTGAAGCCAGCACTCCGGTCGGCATATTATCTGTAAAGGTTATGTGTAGGTGCGTTCACTTGGATCCTATCCTGCCAGACGACTCCTTGGAGGACACTAGAGCAGTTATTGAACAAAAAGCTGAAGAAGGCACCGGGAAGTGGTTCGTCTTGCAACAGATCCCTTCGAAACACATTAAGGTAAAAGCCAGAATGTTGGAATATGATTATCCTAACCCTTCTATGGTAAATTATAGGGTATCCTACCATGAAACCATATTCCAACTTTCTGGAGCTCCCTTTAATTATGTGCCTCCGTGAGTCCCCTAGAGGTTCATACCCTACCCGCTTTGTGAAGGTGCCTGCTTTGTGGGGTCTGGTTCTGTTACGGTTAAGGTTTAGGGTTTAGGGTTTAAGGTTTAGGGTTTAGGGTTGCTCTGGGGGGTTTAGATAGAACAAAAGTCGGTATTAAGGACTGTAGTTGTGGGATCCTTCGGGTACCTTTACAGGCCTTACACGATGTGCATTTGTTGAAGACTCATTTCCCCTTAGAAGGTAAGCAACAAAAACCAAGATCCCGAGAACGCCGCGATCATGATACAGGCCAAAAGCACGGTAACAAATCTTTATAATCCCGTATAATAAACCGCAAAGCAGCACTAAACCCCAAAACCCGCCACGAGCCCGTGTACATGTTCTGGGTGCCTTTGAAGGCTCGTCTAAGGGTTGCTTTCGAGGTTCCCTAAAGCCGGGGTTTATACCCTAAACCGTAACCCCCTGAAGACCCGAAACTCCAAACCCAATGCCCTGAATTTTGAAAGGACCCGTGTACCGGATCCCCAAGGGTTCAAAGGACCCAATAATTGGGTACTGGGTTTTAGGATAGTAGTTATGTAGGCTAGGATTCTGGAGAGTATATGATAGTTAGGTACTTGAACCCTTTTAGGGTCCCATCTATCGGCGTTGCCTGCGGAGCCATGAACCTCGGCGTGATGTGTACTTAGGGAAATTGGCAAGTGGAGTGAATCTAGTGGGCCAATGTCGTGGTTTCCATGAGCTGCCTTCATCGGTGCAATAACGATTGAAATGTACTTATCGTCGCATGATGAAGCTAGAGCCTTTGGGTTTTGAAAATACAATCATGCAGACTGTATGAGGCGACTTAAACGCTACTCTCCTTATAAAGAAACCATGATGACCAAGAACCTCGATGGCCCACAACACCCAACTAAAAAACCGTAGCCCTTGAAAGCTTTCGGATTTTCCTTCAGTCTGGTTATCGGGGAGCTCTTGTCAGAGAAGGGTTGCTGGTTTACTTAAAGGATCATGGGACTTAGTAACTAAGGTTATAATTAGGGTAACTATACTTATAACCCCAATTAAGGTACTTATAACCTTACTTACTAAGTCCCATGATCCTCCAAGTAGAGTACCCCGTCCTGTGGGTCATTATGGGCCCCACAATGGGCTAGCTGGACGTTCTATAGTGGGAGCATCCCAATGCTCAATCTGAAAAGCTTGCTAAATGCTTCCCAACCTAAACCTGGGCCCTGACCTCAAGCCCCTAAAGGGAACTCCAGAAAGTTGGAATATGGATTAATGGTAGGATCCCCAATAATTTACCTTAAAGGGGTTACGATAATGATATTCCAACTTTCTGGCTTCTACTGTACAACACTGTGCCGCTTTGTGACTTTCAAAACTAGGATATCGCGCGATGTCCTAGGCCAACTTCCGGCTACAGACACCGCACTTCATGATTTCAGCCTGGGCCTAGAATACGGTGTGGCGGGAGTCCTGGGCGCCAGGTTTTTCAGAAACTCATATAGGAGTTTCCCAAGTTAAAACCCCAGGAGAATACCTGGGCTTAGGGTTCAAGGTTTACCTATAGTCTCCGTTGTAGTTCCTTTTTGGGGGTTACTTTGTAGGATGCTTACCATGTAATTCGTTATCAATCCAAAAAAGGAGCTACAATGGAGACTATACAGGGTTTAGAGTTCAGGGTTTCGGGTCCAGCGTATACCATGGTATACCTCATGATTTCGGAGTGTGTCCCAGGTGGCCTCACTGACATCTTGAACCTGCGGCGCGACGTGATGGAGCGGCTATAGCCCTGCCGGCGCTACCGAGCCCCCAATTCTCTTCTGAAACCCCTGCAAACAAATTCAAAACATAAATTTCCAATAAACCCCCTACACCCCTACAACACCCTAAAAGGCTTGGCCTCACCAAACAAAAACCCTTGAGGAAACTCGCTCCAAAGTCCCAGGCGTTCCGTACATGTTCTCGCCTAAACCCTATAAACCCTAAACCCCATAAACCCTATATGCCCCAAACCCCACAACCCCATAAACCCCCTAAACCCCATAATCCCTAAACCCCATAAACCTCATGAGCCCTAAACTACCTGCCTTCAGAGGCCCTGGCTTTCCGTACATCCTACTCCCTTAACCCTAAAACCTCAAAATTAAACCCTCAATCCTGAAACCTCAAAACTAAACCCTCAATCCTAAAACCTCAAAACTAAACCCTCAATCCTAAAACCTCAAAACTAAACCCTCAATCCTCAAACCTCAAAACTAAACCCTCAATCCTAAAACCTCAAAATTAAACTCTAAACTCTAAAACCTCAAAATTAAACCACAAACTCTAAAACCTCAAAACTAAGCCCTAAACTCTCTGAAGGCCCTGGCTTTCCATACATGTTCTCGAGGAGCTCCCGAAGTTCACTGGCGGAGATGTGACCGCTCCTGTCCTGGCATTACCCCAAGGGTCCGGGTACCCAATAATCATATTAGGGGTACCTTATTTTGGGGTCCTTAGAATAAGGATCCTTCTATTTAGGGTACCATATCAAGGGTTACCAAGGCAGGGACCCTACAAAAAAGTGGGTTCTGGTAGGTTAAGGTAATGTAGGGCTTAAGGTTTTCATGGGTTTAGGGAGCTGATTTATTACCCACAGGCCCCAAAGTAGTTCTTTTTTGGGGGGGGCTCATATATAGAATCCTAAAAGGGAATCCCAAAACGGAACTACTTCGGGACCTCCGGGTAAGGGCCTAAGGGTCCTATTGGGGATCTAACCCTAAGGGTCCGGGTACCCAATAATCATATACTCTCCAAAATCCTAACCTACATAACTACTATCCTAAAACCGAGTATCTTCCGGTTGGGTCCTTTAAATTTAAACGGTTTAGGGTTTAGGGTTAGAGTTAAGGGTTTAGGGTTTGGGTTTCGGGTTGAATTGGGGTTTAGGATTTAGGGCTTAAACTGGGTTCCTTAAACGAGTTCCTTAAGGAAAGGGCTGTTGGGAGCTATGGTTCTACAGGGTGGTTAAGGTATCAGCGCCCCCCACCATGGGTTAGGGCTTTGGGCTTCAGGGGTTTAGGGTTTGGGTCTTGAAAAGGTTCAACCGGGAGTTCATCCGACAAGGGCTTGATAGGGGGTGGGGATTCGGGCTTTAAGGCTGGGTTGGAAGGCTTCTTCGTTCTACTAAGGCTTTCATGATAAGGTTTTGTAAGGGTTGTGGAGTCAGGCCTTTACAAGGTTTACAATAATACGTCCAGGTTTAAAAATTCAGTTTAATAGAAGGCGTAAGGCAAATTGATGTAGGAGACCTGGATAAGTAGAATAGGGTATTTTGGCTATAGCTTAATACACCCCCAAACCCTATTCGTATTAAGGCCCCTATGTTACTCGCCGACAGAAGGCTTTCTTCGCCGGGGTTCATGGCCGCTGCAAGCTTTCTTGGAGAGGAAGGATACTTAGTCCAAGAGCACCAAACAGTGCAAACTTTCAGTAGTACAGCGGATAACGTGTGTAAAGTGCACTCATGCAGCCAGTAAGGAGAGGCGGGGCCACAAAGGCTGATGCATGTTGCATCCTGCTGCTTCTGGACCGCAGTTGCTCCACCCATATACATTTACTGCTCCCTAAACTCTCATCCAGAGCCTGTATTCAGTACCCATGACCCAGTAAACCCCAAATCGTACACCCTAAAAGAATAAACCGATTAAACAGTAGCCTACTGCTCCTAGGGACGGCTCGGAGCGAACACACCGCATAGAGGATCAGCGAGACCACCGGGGTTTGGGTATAAAGGAGCTTGCCGAGCTGCTGAGTTCATAAGCCTCAAAAACTGTGCACTTTCATACGGTATAGTAAAAAAACACCCAAGATCTAGAGGGCATTCAACTTGCAAGTGTGGGCTCATGGGCTATAATTATGTCGATCTTGCTTTGGTTTCAAGGACTGAAGGGTCGGCGCAGTAGTCTTGCCTGACCTCAGGCTCGTAGCCCATTCTTACCCAGAGAGCGGTTTTGGGGTTTAGGGTTTAGGATTTAGGGTTTAGGGTCCCTTCATTCAGGAATATAGCTAGATAACTTAAGCCATATTCCTTAATTTAAGGGGTATTGGGCTCTCTGGGTAAAACCTTGAATGCGCAACTCAAAGGCCGTTTGTGGAGTGAAGCCTAACTTTAATGCCATCTTCACCGAAGAGTCGCGAAGTCCACAGAGACTCCAATATCCCTTAATTAAGGAATATACCTTAAATTCTAGTAGGATCCCTAATATGAATTAAGGTATATTCCTTAATTAAGGGATATTGGAGTCTCTGGGTCGCTGAGGAGTACCCAAGCGGATGCTCCTCGCTGGAAGAATCATCCTCATCCTCTGGAGTGGAGGATGCTGAAGCTAGCTCGTAAGAGTATCATGGGACTTAGTAACTAAGGTTCTTAAAGGGCTCCTTAAAGGGATCTATAGGGTTCCTTAAAAGGGATCTATGGGGTTTAGGGTTTAGGATCTACTTAAAGGATCAGGGGACTTAGTAACTAGGGATATAATTAGGGTAACTATACGGGTAACTATACTTATAACTACTTATACGCTCAATTAAGGTACTTATAAGCTTACTTACTAAGTCCCATGACCCTCCAAGTATCTCCTCGCTGGAAGAATCATCCTCGTCCTCGCTGGAAGAATCATCTTGGACGAAGCTGAAGATGGCTCTATCTCGACGAGCCGAACCATTCGATGTGGCATTTACTTTAGGACGTTAACACCCTAAAACCAACACCCTGAGCTCTAAGCCTTAAACCCTGAAGCCCTAAACCTCCATGGCACCTTTAAAGGAGCACCTAAAAGGGACCCTAAACGCTAAACCCTTAAACTCTTAAACCCTAAACCCTCATGGTACCCTTAAAGGAGCCCCTGAAACTTTAAAAGGGACCCAAAACCCTCATGGTGCCCTCAAAGGAGCCCCTAAAATTTCAAAACCCTCATGGCACCCTTAAAGGAGCCCCTAAAATGGGACCCTACACCCTCTCAGGACTCCCTGCCGCCAAAGCGCGGCATCCAGCTTCTCGAAAAGTGCGCGGACCTTCTCCATCGACCTCGAGATGGCCCTCCTAAAACTTTAGAGGGTTTAGGGTTTGAGGGTTTGGGGATTTAAGGATTTAGGGGTTTAGGGGTAGAGGTTTAGGATTTGAGGGTTTTTGGGTTTAGGGTTTGAGGGTTTTGGGATTTAGGGCCTAATACGTAGGGGTTAAGGTTTAGGTAAACCTTGGGTTTAGGAGTTAGGGTTTTGGGTTTAGGGTTTATAGGGTTTAAGAATTTAGGGGTTTAGGGGTTGAGGATTTGAGGGTTTGGGGTTTTGGGTTTTAGGGTGTAGGGCTTAGGGGTTTAGGGTTGTGTACAATGTGCAGGGCTTTGGTTTCCGGGCCGGCTGGTCTAAAGTAACTTCACAACAAGAAGGTAAGTGGGTTAAGGATAGTAGCTATGTAGGCGAATACTTGATGAAGTATATGGTTATTAGGTACTTGGACCCTTAGGGTAACTATATGGTCCCTCTGTTATTCTATCATACTTAAGATACCTCAGAACCTTGTTCTAACTATTCAGGCCTCCCCCATACTGTGGATGATAAAAAACCCTGCATTACCTTGAAGACCCTTAACTATGCGAATTATGGTAGATTCCTTGTTATGGGTCATGCAGGATTTACATCATAAGCCGTAGTACTTGGACCCTTAGGTCAATTACATGGCCTTACTTCAATGACCGGCCCAGAATTGCAGTTTTGGGGGCTTGAAGCATGGCTCCTTGAGGGTTTGGGGTTTGGGCTTAGGGTTCTTCTAGACTTTCGAGTTGGCTCTATAGAATAAACCATGTAAAACGAGCTGATGAGGATCGGTTTGAATAGCGGATTCGAAGGCTGAACAGAAGGACCCCAAGACCTAGAATGTCTTGCTTGGGGCGGTGTGGCTATAACATGCCATAACTATAGACGGGGGATAGAAGTAACAACGGCCTATTGTCAACAGTAGTTCATTGTAGTTCATGTTAACCCCCGGGCCCTAAACTAAACTCCCGAAGCCGACACCTTGCAGGGGAAGGAGATCCCCCGGCTCACGCTCTCCTTCCTCTTGTGGATCCGGGTGTTGTCGGTAGTGACCCGGTAGTTGTCATTGAAGCCGGTGTGGCAGATGTTCAGGTCGCCTTTTACTGGGGTCCGGTTCGTGGAGGAGCCCGACTTTGTGTTCCGCGACTTCAAGGTCACCACTTTCAAGCCGTGGACCATGTTCGCGCACAACGCCATGACTTTCAACGCTTCGGGTAAGAGTAACTGGTGAGAGACCCTGTACGCTGCCATCAGCATGAGGACGTCATCTGCATTGACACTTTCAAATACATAGTCACTGCTCATGCCGGTCATTCTCTTCTTCTGCACCATCAGGTTCATGGCAGAAGATGCATATCGTCGCGGCCTCGGGGTAGGACGAGGCCAGGTGCGTGCTGGTCGCCATCAGTGCCAACGGCAACATGTTCACCACCCAGGTCTTCAATTTGTTCACGATGGTGCTTGTCCATTTGGGGTAATGATACCTGAACAAATAACCTACTTACTAAGTCCCCTGCCCCTCCAAGTAAACCCTAAACCCTAAACCCCATAGATCCCTTTAAGGAACCCTATAGATCCCTTTAAGGAGCCCCTTTTAAGGAACCCTTACTAAGTCCCCATGGCCTCCAAGTCTCCGGGACTGGGGCCTGGGGCCTTTTTGGTCTTGCAGGATTGCTTAAAAACCGTAAATCCCCAGAGACTCCAACTACTATTTGCTTAAGAACCCCCAAAAAATAAAAAAAATATATTCCTTATGGGGGTAATATAGGGATTATTATTTTATTTTTTGGGGGTTTCTTAAGCAAATAGTAGTTAAGGAATATTCCCTAAATCATATTAGGGATCCTACTATAATTTAAGGAATATTCCTTAGTTATCAGAGCCCGTAAATCAAAGGGGAGAAGGAGGGACCCTTAATGGGGACCCCTACCCTATAATGGGCTATATAGTGGGTATATACTAGCTATATTAAAGGTATATACCTCGGGGACCTTATTAAGGGTCCCTCCTTTTTTACCCTTGGAGTAAATCAGGGGGCAGAGCTGGACCCTAAAATACCTGCAGTATGAGTTCATCAGTGTAGGTTTTGGGTGGTACGATAGAAACGTTGCAGAGAGTTGGGTTAAGGGTTTGGCGATCAGCCAGTGCTGGGTAGGGCTTATGGGGTTTGGGGCTGAGGCAACCTCCGGCAACCGAGCTAGTTACAGGTTAGATTCTGGCAGCCCTTATCGTAAGTGATACATAGATCCTTCTTCTTGCTGACTCAAGCTGCGCATCGAAACGCTCCCTCTTCTTCTCCATTGCCAGCTCCCTGGCACAACTTCGAAGCAATACCCAAGAAATGTGATGTAGCAATAAAAAAACCTAACCCCCTAAACCCTATTCACAGGGGGCTGTTTTTGTTAGGGCAGTTTCGCTTTCGTCTCTTAAAAGTTCTACAGGGCGACCAACAATGGGGCATATATATATATATGCCTACTTGTCGGGTATCATGGGGAACTAAAGGTTAACCTTGTTGGCCATATAGGGGTTGTATAGGGACTATACTACCCCAAAAAAAGTTAAAGGTTTTACCTACTCTGCCACTGGGTATGGGTAGTTGTCAAAAATAGGGTCCCCTTTCGGGTCCTTATTATAATACGGCACAAAAAAAATTAGGGTACCCCAGAAGGGACCACAATTTTGACAACCGCCCATATGGGGTTCCAGGCAAATAGAGCTCGGCGAGTAGCCTGGCGCATGTTGTTCCATACCTCTTGAAAACAAGATGGTGACTTCATGCTGAAGCTTCTATATCGAAACCTTCAAACCCTTACTTTGGCTCCAACCCTAACAGCCTGAATCAATAAATCTCACATCCCAAACGCTTGACCCTGGACCCCCCCGCTTCCCCTTTATTGTAGCCCCTAGCTGCCTCTTAACTACCTCGACCGTAACCCTTTCAAGGGAACCCCATTCAAGTACCCTATGGTACCCTTCAGGGGAGCCCTAATCCCTACCATCTTCAAGCCCTCAACTCTCTTCTTCAACAGCCGGACCAAAGAAGTTCATAAAGGTCGCCCATGGGCCATCTCCGATTAAGAGAAATCTAAATAATGGAACCCTATAGTACCCTTTAAGGCTTGACCTGGACCCCAAAAGTATGTAGAAAAATGGCCCTTTGCAGGGTTTGGGCCATTATTTTACCTACAATTGGGGGTCTAGGTAAGGGAACCCTAAGCCCTACGGTTGACGATATAAATCCTGCACTACCTTAAGGATCCTAAACTCTGGGAACTATGGTATATTCCTTATTCTGGGTCATGCAGGATTTAGATCATCAACCGTAGGGTCTTCTTTAACCCTCAACCTCTCAACTCTGCATCGCCCCCTTCTTCGCCTCCTCGAGGCAGCGAGCACGGCGGCTTTGGACGTCTGATCCGACGAGGTTGCCTCTTGTCCAGAGACTCCAATAATTACCCCTTAAGTAAGGAATATACCTGAAATTATATTAGGATCCTTATTATGATTTAGGGAATATTCCTTAATTAAGGGATATGGGAGTCTCTGGGTGTCCAGTGGGCGCCTTAACAATTAGAATAGGGTTTTGGGGCCCAGTATACTAGACTTATAATAAGGAGCCGGCAAAAAGTATTGGTAAATATTTAGGCCTCTTGTCTACCTAGGTCAGGGTGATGGGGTTAGGGTCTACGGCGGTTTAGGGTTTGGGGGTAGGGTTTCGGGTTCAACGGTTCATGGATGGCTCTCTTTAACAGTGAGAGGTACACAGGTACACTGGGACTTCAAGTATACACAAGCCCTAAACCCTAAACCCTTAAACCCCTAAACCCTAAACCCTAAAACCCTGGGGCGGTCTGGAGTCTTAGGGGATTCAGGGGTCATTCCCACTTTTGATGTCCTACAATAACCATATCTGTTTCAGGTCTATGCACGGCCTGCCGTCGAGCTCAATTACGTATATGATGGGTGGCGACACTACACGATGCAATCAGTTGTCGCTTGGACTTGTTCATGCCTCTTCGTGTCGTGTCTGTCGTCATGTTTAAGTATGCGCGCTTCTTTGGCGCATACACTCCGTAAGATGTATTTAGGTTTCGGTGTGTGTTTTCGGGAGTGTATCTTTCGGGTTCAAAAGCGTTTTGCTATAAACCCTAAACCCCTAAACCCCTAGACCCTAGGGAGCGAATCGTTTAAAGTGTGGGCTGTGGCGGGAGCCCTAAACAAGAAGTCCCTCGAACCCTACGGTTGATGATATAAATCCTGCATTACCTTCAGGACTATAAACTATGGGAATTGTGGTATATTACTTGTTGTGGATCATGCAGGATTTATATCATCAACCGTAGTGCACTAGAGAACCCTTACCCCAAGGGTCCAAGTACCCAATAATCATATACTCTCCAAAATCCTAACCTACAGAACTACTATCCTAAAACCGAGTACCTAATTATTGGGTCCTTTGGACCCTTGGGGGTTATGGCATATGGACCATCTTTAGCAACCCCCTAATAAACCCTGTAATCACCTGAATCACCTTCACGGAACCCGTATAACAACCCTAAACCCCTTATAGCAAACATGTCTGGCAGCCCTGGCCAAACGGTTGATGATATAAATCTTGCATTACCCAGACTAAGGAATATACCATAATTCCCATCATCTAGGGTCCTTAAGGTAATGCAGGATTTATATCATCAACCGAAGTACCCAATGCTCTGAATGGTTGTTGGGCCAGGAACCTCCTATTTATATGGGCACTTGGACCCTTATAGGGTTAGTCAACCTAAGCCTATTCAATAAATCATATGAGGGATCCTAGGATCCTGCTGAAGTTTAATGGTATATTCCTTAACTAAGGGGTTTAGTCTCTGGCTTACCCCTAAGCCCTAAACCCTCTGATAGAATCCTGATGAAACCCATCATGTCCCCTGCTGAAACTATAACCCCAATATAACACTGCTAGTCAACGATGTCGCAAGCCTAAACCCCAAAACCCTTACAGAACCCTTAAAGGAGCCCTCAAAAGGAAGGTCGGAGGGTTACTAGGCCCTTACAGCCTAAACCCTAAACCCCTAAACACTAAACCCCTAAACCCCCAACCCTTAACCCCTAAACCCTAAAGCAACCCTAAACCTACCCGAAGTGGATCGGCCTCGGCGGCTTTGGCCAGACCTACGCAGCACGGAGTCTAGCTCAGGGTGTCTGCCAGGACCCTCGAAAGGACCCAAGGGCCCTTTAATGATATAGAGGTTTAAGGTTTAGGGGCTTAATGGTTTAGGGGTTTCGGGTTCAGGTTTCAAACTCTTGCAGGACCCCCAATTATGGCCTTTATTCGTGGGTATTTGGGGCATATTAAGAGGGTAGTTGGGGGGTTCCAGGTTGGGTGTAGGGTTTGGCAGTATAGGGTCTTGAGGCTTCTGGTGTTTGAGGGTGGCTTGAGGGTTTTGGAGTTTTAATCAACGTTCAGGGTTTAGGGTTTCTGCTTCTGAATCTCGATAAGGCTTACCAGAGTTTTTGCAAGGTCTTGATCCGCATTTGTGGGATTTTCTAGCAAAGTATTCATCGGGTGTCAACTTTAAGGTCGTTTCTGCTTCAGCCGTGTTAAAACGGGGGTCTACGACCAAGCATCAAGCACGGCAACATGACCTTGCGAACTTGCCGCAGACGGCCTGCGGTTGATGGACAAAATCCTGCATGACCCTAAGGACTCTAAACTCTGGGAATTATGCTATCTTCCTCAAAATGGGTAATGCAGGATTTTGTCCATCGACAGTATGGCCCAAGCGACACCGTAGAGGAGCAGATGCCTCCTGCAAGACTCCTGCAACACCGTCCATAACACATGTTTCTGCAGCTGCCTCCTCCCCTATACTGAACTTAGAACCCTAGCAAAAATCATGATTTTAGCTGTTTCTTAGGGATTATAATAACCAAAAATTAGAAATTGTTTCTAGAAAACCCCTAAGGAACCACCACTGGCTCCAGAGCAGATCCAGATGGCAGATCGGAGCCCCCCAGGGAGAGCAGATGAGCTACCGTAGCACATGGTGATGGGAGGCCAAAAGGGGGGTTTAAGATTCTTGGGGGTGTAGGGTTTAGGGGTTTTAGGGTTTTAGGGGTTTTAGGGTTTCGGGGTTTTAGGGTTTAGGGTAGGGATTCCTTAATATGAGCCCTATTATGGGAACCCTAACCCCTACTAAACCCCCATAAGCTAAACCCCCTTTTGGCCTCCTATGACATTGAAGGCCTTTGCCGACCGGCGCAAAGCCTGAGCCTACTTAAAGGCTCATGGGACTTAGTAACTAGGGTTAAAAATAGGGTATCTATACTTATAACCCCAA